CTTTCTTTCTTTCTTTCTTTCTTTCTTTCTTTCTTTCTTTCTTTCTTCCTTCCTTCCTTCCTTCCTTCCTCCTCCTCCTCTTCTTCTTCCTCCTCCTCCTTTCCTTCCTTCCTTCCTCCTCCTCCCTCCTCTTTTTCTTCCTCCTCCCTTCCCCCACTGATAAAAGCACCCCGAACTGCAAAATAAAACAAAATCAAAACATTGACAAATGGGGCTGCTTTACTTGGAAACTCTAATATGTTTATAATGATCTCATGCTGAATTATGCCACTCGCCCCCCCCCCCCCCCCCCGCCTTCCCAAGCACAAGCTGTCCCCTGCAATTATTTCCAAAACGCTTACGCCATTATTTGCTGTTTAAAGGCAGACAAGAACTCTGGTCTGGAAGGGAAGCTGTTTTTTCCCCCTTTCCCCTCCCCCCCTTTAAAATAAAAAAATAGATCACTGCAATTTCAACGTTTAGAAGTCCCAGGCAGTGAGGCAGCCCCATTAAGATACGGTGGCTTTTGCACATTTAGGAGGAGGAGAAGAAGAGGGGAAGAGGAAAAGGAGGAAGAGGAGGAGGAAAGGAGGAGAGGAAGAAAAGGAAGAGAAGGGGGAGAAAAAAGAGAGGAGGAAGAAGAGAAGGAGAGAAAGAGGAAAAGAAGAGGAAGAAGAAGAGGAGGAGAGAGGGGCAGAGGAAAAGGAAGAGGAGAAGGAGGAAAAGGAAGAGAAAGGGAGAAAGAAGAGAGGAAGAAGAAGAGAAGGTAGAGAGGAAGAAGAGAAGAAGAGGAAGAGGAAAAGAAGAGGAAGAAGAAGAGGAGGAGAAGAGGAGAAAAAGGAGAAGAGGAAGAGAAAAAGAAGACAAGGAGAAAAGGAGGAGGAGGAGGAACAAGAGGAGGAGGTAGAGAAGAGGAAGAGGAAGAAAAGAAAAGGAAGAGGAAATGGAGACAAGGAAGAGAAGAAAAAGAAGAGGAGGAGGAGAAGAGGAAAAGGAGATCAGGAAGAAGAGGAAAAGGAGGAGGAGGAGGAGGAAGAAACACACCATCACACACTTTTCCAAAGGCAAAGGGGTCCACGGATTGTCAAAACAATAAAGGAGAATATTTGTATCTCAGGGTTGAAACAAGAGGTCCTTGGTGCTCTCTGAGCTTGGTGGTTTTCTCACAGACGTTTCATTACCCAAACTAGATAATATCACCAGTACTAGCTGATGATGCTACCTAGTTTGGTAATGAAATGCCTGCAAGAAAACCACCAAGCTCAAGAGAGCAACCAGGGCCACACAGTTCAACCCTGAGCAACAAATATTCTCTATTCTCGATTGTCAATTGTATCGTGTTCACAACCTGTAAACAAAAGATCGGACAGCTTCAAAGAAGACTTAAGTTTGGAAGATGTGATTATCAAGGTACGGAATCTCGCTTGGCTCTTCGATGGTACTCTTGTTGAGGGGACTGTAGGTTGACTCACCTCAGCAGGAAGCAGAGTAAAGGAATAGAACCGTTTCATCTTGGTCACCAAGTCGTCTGTTGAAAATGTGATGTATTCGACAAACTTCCTGTTCAGCAGAAACCAATCAGAACCACCATCCACAGTGATTCCTTCCGGAATTTTCCGGTCCCCGAGTCTCCACATGTGGGTATCACATTCCAGAAACAATCTATCAAGGCCTTGTTTTCTAATAAATCTGGACAACAAAAGAAGACAAATAAAGGATTAAGAAGTTCCTTTTGAGATGTATCTTACACCTCAAAAGGAATGATAAAGAAACTTGTGAAATAAGATAAGTAGGTCTAAAGCCATCAGACCAAGGCAGACCAAAAACATTTTGCTTCCTTCAAAAGACAAGCTGGTGCCCTTCCCATTTCTTTATTTTAACATATCTCTAATCTCCAAATGGTGCTAAGCAAAACAAGAGTTTTGCTCTTGTCTAGAGAATTACGTTGCTTGCTTGAAAGTTATTGTGAATTAATTTTGTGCTGGTTAATGTTGGGTTAAGGCTTGTAACCTCCAGTGTTAATTCGTTGCTATACACTTGTGTTTTTTTAATGCATGTACATCACTCACACTCACCTTCGTGAGATAGGTGGCCATGCAAATGGTTTAAATAAAAATTAATTGAAAGACACAAATCGAAAAATTCAACTGACGGGAAGTCTTCCAACCTGCACTGTCAACACATTTTAAAACAGTGGCCAAAAAAAGAGGATATAAGCTAGGAAAGATGGTTTACCAGCAACAAAAAGAACAACACGAGTGGATAGGAATGGCCGGGCTATGAAACAAATGGAGAGAAGAAAGAACTTGGATCAATAGTGAGATGGGCGGGATATAAGTTTAATAAATAACTTTAAAAAGAAAGGGCTACAGATTCACCTAATGTTCTCAATTCTTAAAAGCGTTAAGAAATAGAACATCTGTGGAAAAAGAAAACAAAAATAGTACCAATTGTAATAGGAATGCAATCCCAAAACAATTGGAGCAACAACTGAACCCTCTTGGCATTGACAAAATCCCCATCAGTCAAGTGCGAAAGGCAGCTTTATAACAGCTTACATCCTGCGATGATACCTTTAATGCCATCAAACAACTGGCTGACTGCGCAATCAACCATAGTAATAGTAGTACCAATGATAATAGGCACCTTGGTGCATTCCCAAAACATCTGGAGCACCCGTTGAACATCATCCGCATTGATAAAATCACCATTGGTCAATTGCAAAAGGCAGCTTTACCTGGAAGAGCTTACATCCTGTGACGAGACTTTCAACACCATCTGCCTATCCCAGGTCCTTGGAGAGGACTTAATTGGTGGATGCCAAATCCAGTCTAAACATCTGGCTGACTGAGCGACGAATCATAATAATAACTTCTGAAACTCTGCCATCTGAACAATTAACAGCCTAGTTGTGATATACAGATTTCCTTTTAAAACCAAGCGAGTCAGGTAATTAAAAAGAACCACATCGTGGCTCTAATTAAATCCAATTGAAGGGAGGCACTCAAAACCTGTTGGCCCATTTTGAGGAGACAAAAGTGAGTTTAAAAAGAGTGAGTTGGTTGTTTTTTTTTTAAAAAAAAACAATCCCATCAACCAGATAATAATTTTCCTTTCAATGACAAAGAATGATGAAAAAACTTTGCAATTTGAATGAAGAGGTTCTAGAATCTCTGGGTGGATGATTGAGTCAATTCCATGCGGAATCAAATATTTATGGCGAGGGGGGCGTTATAACATTGGTTTTTATTTTCAGGAGGGGTGGGGTGGGAGGGAAAAAAGGAAACCCATTAGACAGGGGTGGGATTCTACCGGTTTGGACCGGTTCTATAGAATCGGTTGTTATGATTCTGTGCAATTTGGAGAACCGGCAAATCATGCCCCTGGCTGGCCCTGCCCCTCTTCGCCTGCCCCTCCCCTCCCAGTCAGTCCTTATTGCACATGTGCAACATTATGCGCATGCCTGACATCGCTGACTGCGTTTGTTGTGGTTAGCCGGCAGCAGGTGCGGACGGCGGAGGAGAGCGAGGACTCAGATGAGAGGCCAGGACCAATAGAGAGTGGACTGCTGCCTTCAGAGATTGTGGGGGCTAGCAGCAGTGATGAGGAGGTTCCCGAGAAGCCTGTGCCAAGCGTGTGTGCACACAGGATTGCTAGGAGGTAAGAGCAGCTACAACAGCACGGGCGACTCAGGAGTAAGGCTGCAAGGTAATGGGCCCTCCTTCAAGAAGATAAAATCCAGCTGTGAAGCGAACGTTCTTTGCAGGAAGCAAAGATGATTTGGAAACTCAGCCTCGTGGACATTCCAGTATCCTGAGTTTATATTTGAAAATTCTTATTTTGCAAATTATTTCTTGTCTGTTATCTTTTGGCAAGTCTTGCACAGTTTGGCAAGGCTTGTGCTTATCACAGCGAATTATTTTGTAAAAGCATTACAAGGTTTCTGTTCTTTTCTGAATTGTGTTTGATTTGTCAGAAAAGGGCGTGGCCCAGTCACTCCTTAAGGTATTTCTTCCCTTCCCCCCAACGACCAGCTGTTCCGATGATCAGTTGTGCCAGGATCCCCCCTCGCTTACTTCCTGCTTCACCCAGGATACATTACTTTGAACTCATTATGTACATGTGTTATTTTAGAGAAATGGGACATTTCTGTAGCCAAAAAAAGAAAAAGAAAGGTCCGCAGATTCACCCAATATTCTCCTTCTTAAAGTTAAAAGCTTTAGCAAAGTTTTAGGTTAAGAAGCATTTAAAAATACACGACATTGTGGACTCACACAATTTAGAGAAACAGTTCAGTGAAGTGAAAGGAAGGATCTTCTTATTTGATGCTTGCTTTAAGATAGCCACACACAAAAAAAAGAAAAAAAGTGTGGCGCTATTTCAGAAGGTTTGCTTGGTGTTCCAATCACAGTGAACAAAAATCAGCCCAGATAGCCAATTACTTCTAATTGCAACTTGGAAGGAAAAAAAAAAAGCTGGAAAAGAATTTTTTTAAAAAAAGCTGAAGAGGACAGAGAAGCTGCAATTCCATCCGCAGCAAACTCTTCTAGAAAAAGGAACAAAGAAATGACTGTCTCGGGCTGCGACCACCAGCAATTTAAATATTCATCTTCTGACATTAATAGGATTGGTTGCAATGACGTCTAAGTGACGACTTTCGCAAAGACTGGATGACGACTTCGTATCCCCTTCTTCACTCTCCTTAACAACAAGCAGATGTGGGCTGGGAGCGTTTCCTAAACAAATGGGTTGAGACTGTTCCTTGTAACATATGTTTGCTGAGTCACCGGATCCACCCAGCAAAATTGTGCCAGCCTTACAAAATGTGCTCTTGAACGGTGGCTTTTCCAACTCTTGATTTTCTTCAAAAGACTGGGCTTCAATACCCAGATTTCTGCTACCGGCCTAGGATGAATGAATGGAAACTTCTGCTTCAGAATGGAGCTGACTGGCTTGTTCAGAAATGAGTCATCGTACCTTAGCATGCGTTGGAAGAAAAATCCACCCGGTCAGGGGTGGGATTCAAAAATCCCAGCAAACAGTTCTCAGCCTGGGTTGCTGGATGGGCGTGGCCATGGTGGGCGTGGCCTACCTGAACTTCTTGGGAGGGCCGTTTTTTTTTTGCCTTTCCCAGAGTCCGGAGGCTTTCCTCAGGCCTCTGGGACAGCAAAAATGGCCTCCCTCGGACTCCAGAAGCTTCTGGAACTTCCACGACTTCTGGAACTTCCACGAGGGCTGTTTTTCGCCCTTTCCAGAGCCTCTGCACAGACTGTGCACTTAACTGCGTCCAAAATGGGCTGCGTGGAGACTCCTGGGAGGGGCGGGGCGGGCCAGCCAGTTGGTTCATCGACCAGTTCGGTGAACCGGCTGTAATTTTAACATCCGGTTTGCCTGAACCGGGCCGAACCGGCTGAATCCCACCCCCTGCATCCGGTTCAGTTCCAAGTGGGGAGAAAAAACACTGGAAACATGGAGGCTGATTGGAAAGATGGTTTATTGATGGATAGGACCACATGCGTTTTGAGGTCCTGGGCAGCTGAACAAATGGAGTGGAAAGCGAGGGTTATTTATTCCTTCTCTTGGGCCTTGCCCTTGAGCTTCCTGTTCCTGTGGCAAGAGCATGTATGCTTATTGGTTGCTGTGGTCAGACTCCCATGTGGCCATGTGGGGTCAGTTTATCTGAATCAAGTTTGAAGCCTGCTGGGTGATGGAATGAAGAGTCTTGTGTCCTGAAAGGGTGTTGGGCTGTTCCTATTGTGTCTTAATGGCTTTTCTGGTTTGGGTCTTGAGTGAGAACTGATCCAACCATTCTACCTAATTTAGCCTTTGTTCAAAATATCCTGTCTTGAATGGATTACCAAATCTGCATTTCTAAAAGCTGGCCTCAGCTTAGTATCTGCTTGGGGGCAGGGAATTATGGCTCTGAATTTCTGTCTTCCTTAAGATTTCTATTTCTCTTTTAGGGGAAATGTAATATACTGCCTTTTTAATATTTCCTAAAATATTTCATTCTTCTAGGAGAATGGTGGGTGCTAATTTTCTACACATGGAAGTAAGTCCTCTTTAAATACAGCCTCCGAAGGACCCTACCGACTACGAAAAATAAATAAAATTCCAGGATAGCATGAAGAGATCTCTTATTTAGCTTTAATTTTCCACCTACCAACAAGTCTCCAGTAGAGATTCATTTGTAATTTTCCAGATGTAAACACAGCCTCCCTTCTGTTCACAGAGCAATGAATTTTAAAACAGGTTCAGGGTGTCATGCATTTCGCAACTGATGTATCATTTAGAATATTTATAAGTTCTCAGTCAAGATCAGGGCCTTGAACCATTAAAAGCTGTTTTATCCTAAATGGATGCCAAGTTTAGAACTCTACTATTCAGATAGGAGTATTACTGGCAAACAGCAACCCAATTCAAAACCAGCTAACCAGGCTGGAGTCATACATCTCATTAAACCATAATATGACTTTACAGTTTGCATACTAGTGTAGTTTGTAAAAGATGAATTTTGGGTTAGCATATTGGGTTAGCTCAGCCAATGAAGGCTTAGTCAATACACCATGATTCAGCATACTATTTGTATCGGGTTGCAGAGAATGTCCAGATAACAGAATAATACAGTTGGAAGGGACCATAGAGGTCTTCCAGTCCAACCCGCTGCTGAAGCAGGAAACCCTATACCAGTGGTGGCTAACCTTTTTGGGCTCCTGTGCCAAAAACTGTGCGCGTGCTTGCGTACCAGCACCCAGAAGGCAATGTGCGCAGCCCCTCCACCACTTCCTTACGTGCACTGTGCCTTCCAGCTGATTTTCGGCCTGTTTGGAGCCTTTTTTGGCCTGCCAGAGGCTTGAGAGCTTCTGCAGGCTTTGCAGGCCGAAAAATGGGCCCGTTTCATCACTTCCAGTATTTCCGGAAATACAGGAAGTGACGAAATGGACCTATTTTTCAGCCTGCAAAGGCTTTCCTTAAGCCTCTGGGAGGCTGAAAAAAACCTCAAACAGGCCAAAAATCAGCTGTGAGGTGCACGCATGCGCAGTGAGGTAAGTTTGCCCGCGGCTCGCATGCCAGCACGTGGCACGGGTGCCATAGGTTCACCATCACGGCCCTATACCGTTTCTGACAAATGGCTGTCCAGTCTCTTTTTGAAAGCCTCCACTGACGGATCACCCACAACTTCTGAAGGCAACCTCTGTTCCACTGGTTGATTGTTCTCCCTGTCAAGAAATTTCTCCTTAGTTCTAGGTTGCTTCTCTCTTTGATTGGTTTCCACCCATTGTTTCTTGTCTTGCTTTCTGGTGCTTTGGAAAATAAGTTGACCCCCTCTTCTTTGTGGCAGCCCCTCAAATATTGCAACGCTGCTATCATGTTTCCCCTGGTCCTTCTTTTCAGTAGATAAGCCATACTCAAATTCACATCAGGGCATGTTGATTTTCATGACCAACATGCTGCCATTAGCAGTGGGTGGACAACTCTAGCCAAAAGGGGTCATCGTTAGATATTCAAGGATGTAGTCTAAGGTAGAAACTTTATTGAGCATGGAAAGACTATAGTAAAACCGTATCTAAATATATGGCTGGTGCAGAAAATAGAACATTGCGATTCTAACACAAAATTCATTCGAAGAGGTCAATGATTAATAAATTCCAGTATATCTAGAAGTTGGGGAAGGTTCGAAGATGCTGAAACCAGCACTTCTATGAATTTTTTGCAATCTGGGTCCCTTCCAGATGTGGTGACTTCAACTTTCAGAATTCTCCAAGCAGGTGAGGACACTCAATTGGAGAATGGCTGTTGTGACAGATCAAAACATGACCTTCTCATCTTACATAAGGCTCTTTTCTGGTGTTCCAAGAAGAACAATTTAGATTTGAAACACAATCCAACCTTGAATTGTTTTCCAACAGGACAGCCAACGCTTTCTGTTCCATTTTCTTAGCAAGATCCCCTTTTTCCTTTTAACAGCAACTTCAAAAAACGCATTTGTGAAATTGTGTAGACTTTAAAAGAGCCAAGAAAGGCAGGGCGCAAAGTACAAGCAATAAAAGGGTTTATTGTTTCATTAGAGCAAACCAGATGCTTTTATACCAGGGAACTCAGTGTAATAGAACACTCTCTGTAAAGTAGATATGTTTCTAAAGGCTTTTGCGCTTGTCTTCCTCTTCACCTCCTTCCCCACCCCCCATTCAAAACGTGCTAATATTTCAAGGGCGACATCGCTCCTGCAATTAGCACACTTTGCTTTCGAAAGGAAATAAGCACAAGAGGCCTGCAGCCAAATGGATCTCAAGGAACCACCGTCTTCGATTCACTAATACACGGGGAAGCAGGATATTTCCAAGGAGGGAGAAGGTACAGTGCCAACCCACCCTGGAGAGAATGTGAATGCTAGTAGAACCACAAGGCTAAAAACACTAGGCTACAGAGAGAATTGTGTTTTATGAAAACTTGCAGGGGTGCCGATGGATAATCCATTCCCTCCATGGCTGCTTCTCCAGCCTTCGGGGGCTCGGGAGAAATTATTGAGTCCCACTTTCTTGTGGCCGCCCCTCAGATGTCATTTTGGACTTTCTGGTTTTGCTTTGAAGATGCTTTGCTTCTCATCCAAGAAGCTTCTTCAGCTCTGACTGGTTGGTGGGGGAAGGGAAGGGTTTATGCTCCTTGCAGACAGAGCTGGTCGTTTGCATCCTTTTTAGAGAGTCGTTGAGGCCATCTGGAGGTTTGTCTGTGTCGTCAGAGTCACCTGAGTAATGAAAATGGACGTGGAGTCTTCCTGTTGTAGATTGGAGATATTCCCTCCCCCCCTCTGTTGAGAAAGGGCTGTTCAGTTTTGACATAGATGGGCCTCTTTAACCCCTCTTCAAATGTCCAGCGGTCTGCAAGGAGTATAAATCCTTCCATTCCCCACCATCCAGTCAGAGCTGAAGAAGCTTCTTGGATGAGAGGCAGAGGTGGTACATTCAGCCGGTTCTGACCAGTTCTGGAGAACCGGTAGTGGAAATTTTGAGTAGTTTGGAGAACCGGCAAATCCCACCTCTGACTGGCCCTGCCAACCCCATCTATTCCCTGCCTCCCATTGAGTCCCAGCTGATCGGCTGGGTCTTCCTTGGTTGCCCTGCACAGGAGAACGGAGCTGGAAAGCAGGTTAGTGGGGTGGGGAGGGAATGGAGATCTTACAGTCACCTTTCCCCAGGAGTGGGGGGCGGGGGAATGGAGATTTTGCAGTATCCTTCCCTTGCCATGCCCACCAAGCCACGCCCACAGAACCGGTAGTGGGGGAAAAATGGAATCCCACCACGGATGAGAAGGGAAACATCTTCAAAGAAAAACCAGAGTCTAGTTGCCTGTTGAAAAAAGCATGACCTGGATGACTAAGAATCTCCATAGACATTCAGCCTCTCAGATATTGTAACACTGCTATCCTGCCACCCCTATTTCTCCTAAAAGTTGCGGTATTCAAGAACCGGAAGTAAATTCCTGCTTACGTGGAATTATACATTTTCCTACTGGAGCAGACTTAATGTTTTAGCCAAAGAAGATGGCTTGTTTGTTTGTTTGTCTGTTTCTTTGGCACATTTTTCTTTCCCGTAACTATTTCTCTTTCCAAAAACCTGATATTGGTGTATTGCTTCTGGAGTTTCGCAACTCCTGGCGGGCGCTTCTGCTTATTATTGCGCTGTTTATTGCACTGTCTATTGTGCATGCAATGAATCTTAAAAAAATCAAACCCCTTTAGGTCAAACTTTTAAAGACAAGAAAAGTGATTCTGAATAATACATATATCGCTATGGAAAGGGAAGGGAAGGCAACATCCTGAGATGTAATTAACTGTTTATGTATTCTGGAGAGATCTCTTAAAGCCACAAACGATTATTCTGCAGAAGTGGGGCCAAATGGCGCATTAGTGCCTCTTATCACTAAATTAATCAGCCGATTTAATTCATCCACATTGTTGTGGTCACAAGCCTCTGAGGTGAAACTTGATTTGCTATTGCGATGTGGGATCTTCTTGTTATTATTTGGTTGGTGGTAGAGTTTGAGGCCAGCGATCAGATCTATGTTGAAAACCTTCCCCATTTCCTTCCTAGGAGATGGATTAATACAAAACAACTTCTTTTTTTGTGTGTGAAAAAAACACAAAGAATAAAGATAAAGTTGTGTTCAACTCTAGGGAATGGTGCTCATCTCCATTTCTTGGCCAGTATTGCCCAAAGACAATTTCTGTAGTCTTGTAAGCCAGCATGTAGAACAACTAGACACGAGAACAGTTTTTCCCCGAATGCCATCACTCTGCTAAACAAATAATTCCCTCAACACTGTTCCAACTATTTACAAAGTCTGCACTACTATTACTATTAATCTTCTCATCACTCCTTATCACCCATCCCCTCCCACTTGTGACTGTATGACTGTAACTTTGTGTCTTGTATCCTTATGATTTATATTGACTGTTTCCTAATATGATTTGATGGCTTATTGTACCCTATGACTATCATTAAGTGTTGCACCTTATGATTCTTGACTCTTGAGACGAATGTATCTTTTCTTTTATGTACACTGAGAGTATTTGCACCAAGACGAATTCCTTGTGTGTCCAATTACACTTGGCCAATAAAGAATTCTATTCTATTCTATTCTATTCTATTCTATTCAGATGCTGTTATCTTCCCACTGAAGACATCCTCCTCATTTAATGATCCCATAATCCCTTGCGGGATGTGGAGTCTGGGCAACTGAATGGAGCTGAGTGTTTACTGGCTGGACGCCTTTCCTGTTACCAATGCGGAGGTTTTCCTTTTGCAGCAGTTGTATTCCCAGTGTGCTCAGAGAGAGAAATATCTGCCCCTACCCAGGATCAAACTCACAGCCTCCTGATTGTGAGGTAAGAGCTCCACCTCTAGGCCACCAAACCACTCTACTTTTCCACTGAAATGGTACCTATTCATTTTCATGGTGGGCAGGAACTGAAGAAGAGTATCATCACTTTTATTTGCCATTATCTCATCAAAATGCAGAAAAGAGGCGCCATTTACCTTGCGTTGTCTCTTCCATGGGATTTCAAGAAGTTCATGTTCCGGTATCTGGACAAGAATGCGACAAGCTGGTCGTTCGTCCTGTGAAACATTTTTTTTTTTGGGGGGGAATATTTATATTAATGATAATAATGATAATAATAATGATGATAATAATAATAATAATAGAGGTCAACAAGAGGAAGCTGCTCTTGCTTAAGGACAGCTTGATTCACTGAACAACTGCAGTGAATCACTCAACAATGAGAGCAAAAGAGGTCGTAAATTGGCCGTGACTCACTCAACAACTGCCTTGCTTAACAATGGAAATCCGGGTCTCAATTGTGTCTGTAAGTCGAGGACTACCTATATCCATTAGCCCAGGGGCCTCCAAACTTGGTAAGTTTAAGACTTGTGGGTTTCAAATCCCGGAATACCCCAACCAAGGGTGGCTGAGGAATTCTGGGAGCTGAAGTCCGTAAAGTCGCCAAGTTTGGTGATCCTTGCATTAGCCTAATCACCAACTTCAAATAAAGATCGCCCTACTACTAAACCCATGTTGATTTTTTAATTAAGGTTGTATTATATAAAATACAAAGAAGAGAAGAAAAATAGGAAAAGGAAGGGAAGGAAGGGGAGCAGGGAAAAGAGGGTGTGAGCTATAAGGAGAAAGAGAAAAAGAAAGAAAATGAGGCATTGGCTTCCAATTCTTCTTCGCGCAGTAGAAGATAAACACACTCTAACCTCCATGTTTTGCTTTTAATTTACATTAATTTACTTTTAAGTTACATTTACATATAACTATACGAGTTGGATACCCATGCTTCGCTACGAAACCATGTGGTCGGGCTTAGTTTTGGGGAGGAAAACAAAGGGGAAAAAATTCTGCCTCTGCCTACCAGCATCCATCGGTATTCATCTGGCTAGTGTCCTGTCAGTGTGTGAGAGAGTTGAGGGCTGTTTGGAAACTGAAGTGATATTTGCTGTGTGAGCAAGAAGGAGACAGCAAGGAGCCTGGGTGTGGCTTAGCTCAACTGTTCTGTATTAAAGCTGTTTGCTGCTGTGAAACAAACTGAAACTGAAACTCCTCTCCTCTGCTTGTCTTTTGCATTTGGAACAGATTTCTTTTCAGGTGGGGAGGGGGAGTAGAACTCCTTAACATCAGAGCGTGTTAATAATAATAATATAGAAAATACCAAGGCTCTGATGGTCATTTCAAAAAATCGTTTCTTAGTGAGCCCCTAGAAGCCAAGAGGAACATGCATGCCAAATTTCAAGTTTGTAGGTTTTACGGTTCTGGAGATTTTGTGAAAAAATATATATATATATGTTTGTTTGTTTGTTTTCTTAATTTTTTGTGGGTACTTACATGTATGGTATTCAGCTTTGTTCGGGTATTTTCCCGTGTCATTATAGTTGTGCTTTTAAAGTTGTAGCAACGGTTCGGCAGAATCTCATCTGCCATCATCAGGCTTCTGTATTGTGTTTGTCTGAAGGATTTGGAGGTGGTATTCAGCAGGTTCTGACCAGTTCTGGAGAACCGGTAGTGGAAATTTTGAGTAGTTCAGAGAACCTGCAAATCCCACCTCTGGCTGGCCCTGCCAACCCCATCCATTCTCTGCCTCCTGAGTCCCAGCTGAACGGACCTGGAAAGCAGGTTAGTGGGATGGGGATTTTGCCGTAACCTTCCCCCAGGTGTGGGGAGAAAATGGCAGATTTTACAGCATCCTCCTTCCCCTGCCACGCTGTTAGGTATAACATTGATACCAAATATGGTTTGGGTGAATAAATATATAAAACTTAGATATCATGGTTTAAGTGCTTATCACTTTAAGCACAATGCAGCAGGCAATTAGCCGATTAAGGGTGCGGTTAGAAGTTACAATATAAGGAAGAATTAGAAGCTGGAAAACTTACTGACTGTAACTGTGTGCTGCTGCGACTAACTGTGATTACTGACTGTGAGTGCCTGTGACTGAACTGTTATTGTTTGCTACTGTTTGCTGAATATCCAGCGTTTGTTTCTCTGGAGAGTGAAACCGGAGGAGGAGAAGATATCTTTATCGGCTGATAAAGATATTGCAAGGACTCTTAACTTGAACTATACTAGTGAGTCTTACTGGATGGAAATACTGTGAATGACTTAATGGACTGAATGACAATGCTTAAACTCTAACTGGATTAAAAACTATTTAAACTACAAACAGTGTTTGTGTTCAGTGTGTGTATACTCTGGGGCCCTTCCGCTCTCCTTTGGTTGCCTGGCTTGACTACTGCTGCAATACTCTGCTAGGGGTTAATCCCCAAAACCCTAACATTGGTTATGGGCCCAGCAGCATAGTCTAACTAACCAGGATATAGCAGAGAGAGTTGGTGTGAGTTGCACATTACTGTAAAAAACAAACTGTTTTAATTAGTTTAAAATAGTCAAAATATCTGAAGAGTAATGGCACAAGTAAATTTGTCACAACTGTCCATGATATCCAGGCTGGATGGAACAAACTATGTTTCATGGTCAATGAAATGTAGTTTACTTCTACGCAGAGAAGGTTTGTGGGACATTATAGCAAACCCACCAGATGTGAGTAGCTGGGATCCTGCTAATGATGATGATAAAGAAAAGTTACAAGACTTTAAACTGAAGAATGAGCAGGCTTTATGCATCATAGGACTGACTCTCTGTGATCAGCAGCTTGTCCATATTCGTGGAGAAGAAAATGCTGCAAACTGCTGGGAGAACCTCAGGAAGATTTATGTTCGGGACAGTGTAGGAGCACATATAAATCTTACACGTAAGCTTTTTCGAACGCATCTTCAGAGGAATGGAGATATGTTAGTTCATTTAAACTGTATGAAGAGCATTTTTCAAGATTTGCAAGAAAAAGAGCTTATATTTAATGAACTGCAACAAGTCTACATAATATTATCTTCATTAGATCAAAGCTATGATGACTATGTGACTTCGTTAGAGGTATTGTCAAAAGAAAGCCTCTCATTAACCGAGATTACAGGCAGGCTACTAGAAGAAGCCAGAAGAAGGCGTGAGCGTGACGAGCTGAGAGAAGATAAGAAAGAAGAGAAATTATCTTCAAAGCTTGAAAGAAACCAGCAAAGCAAAGTAAAGCACCTGGAAGAAGAGAATTTATCTTCGACGGCATACACAATTAAAAAGTGTTTTAATTGTGGAAGTAGAGGACATCTGGCAAAGTTCTGCAAAAAGAGAAAAAGCCAGAATGTAAAAAAGCCAAAGAACGCATTTGAACTAGCCACGTTTAGCAACTCTGATGTGAAGAATAATTTATGGGTGGTTGACAGTGGCGCATCCCACTGCATCACAAGAGATAAGACAAAATTTATAAAAATGTCTACAAGTTCTCAACATATATCACTTGCCAATGGCTGGAACCTGAAAGCGAAAGGTCAAGGTTTTGCACGTTGTCCGTACATAAACCAGGATATAAAAATGTTGTATGTACCGCAACTAAAGTTTAATTTGCTTTCAGTAAGGGTATTAGATAAATTAGGTTATGTAATTACTTTTAAAGATAATAATTGCATAATTGAAAAAGATAACAAAAGGGTAACTGCAGCTTTAAATGGAACATTATATGTATTAGATAATAGTAAGAAAGGGGAGGCTCAAACTGTATTTAATAATATAAAGCCTCATGATGAATGTATCCATTTATTGCATAGGCGTTTGGGGCATGTAAATTTTAAAATGCTAAAACGTACAGTTGAGTTATCTGAAGGAATAAGGTTAAAATCTTGTGATAAATATTTGCGTTGTAATGTTTGCTGTGAAGATAAGAGCAAAGTATTGCCTGCAAATAGGCTAAATGGTTTCAAAACAAAAGAACCTTTAGAAGTAGTATTTGCAGACATAATAGGTCCAAAGAAACCCAGTATGGGGGGTGCTAGATATATACTGAGCATTATGGACCATTATTCTAGATATGGGTTTTGCTATTTAATGAAAAGCAAAACTGAAACATATCAACATTTTTTCAATTGGCTTAGGTTTGCTGAAAGAAAGTCTAAACGACAACTGATAACCCTGGTGACAGATAATGGTACGGAATTTATTAATAACAAATTCCAGAACAGACTTAAGGTAGCTGGAATAGAGCATAAGAAGTCTGCTCCATACAGGCCAGAACATAACGCTTTTATTGAAAGAAGAGGCCAAACACTACAGGCAATGGTTAGAACAATGTTAAATGATTCTGGGTTACCTGATTCTTTGTGGGGGGAGGCTACAATGTGTGCTAATAACATATTGAACAACGTTGTTAATACAACAACAGGTGAAATACCATTCACCAGGTGGCATGGCAGGAAACCTGATCTAAGTTACCTGCACACATTTGGTGCACCAGCATGGGTGCATATTCCTGCACAACTCAGGAAAAAAGGGCAACATAGAGCTAAAAGATTTTTCTTCGTTGGTTATCAAGCAAACCATAGGGCATATAGATTTTGGGAGAAAGGCACATCTAAAGTGTTATGTAGTGCTAGTGCCCAATTTCTAGAACATGAAGGATGGGAGAAATTAGAACAGGATGCCAATAAAGATGTAATTATTGAATCCTATAGAAATCCCATTAGTTATCCCTGTAACTTTAAAAATAAAGTAAAGAGAAAAATACAGGATGAGATAGTGCCCATAGAGGAAGAAACAGATTCAATAGCTAAACAGGATGAGGAAGATGAACAGGTAGTAGTTCAACAAAGTCCTCCTGTAAGCCCTGTAATTCCCAGAAGAACTACACGTGTATCTAGACCGCCTGATAGGTACCAGGCTAACACAGTGTGCCAGATTAATCAAGTTCCTAATTCTGTTGAAGAAATTAAAAAGTATCCTAATAAGGAAAAAGAAAAATGGTATGCAGCAATGAATAAGGAACTGAATTCATTAAGTGATATGAAGGTGTATGAAAATGCCAAATTACCTGTAGGAAATAAATCCATTGGCTGCAAATGGATATTTAAGGTAAAAACAGATAAAGATGGTAAATTAATCCATAAGGCAAGGTTAGTAGCTCAAGGTTTTAGGCAGAATGCTAATGACTACGATGAGGTGTTTGCACCTAGTCTTA